ATCTACCTTAGATCAGAGGTCATTAGAAACCTGACAATAGAAAAAAAACAACAATGGAGTTTCCTCTTTCTTCCTTTCAGAGGGTGTGAGTTTCCTCCCTGAGGGATCAAGTATCCAACTAAGCTTTTTTTTTTTTTTTGCTTAAAAAAATAGGCAAACAGATAAAATGGACACGGTGGCTTTCTGAAAAAAAAACAATATTTGTATTTTAGTTAAAAGTAAAATCTATTTTTAAAAGATGATCCAGTGTTTGAACAGTATCAGTTATAATGCCATCCTTCTGACCACAGCAGGACAAACCATTAGCCTGCAGGACTCACTGCTAAACTATCGCTCTGCTTCTATAAAAATGTTTGAAGAACAAACAGTCAGACTGAACACAAAGACAAGCTGCCACACCTAAACTAAATGTGAACAATGGATTTATTAAACAAGGGAAGTGAGTCAACAGACAACGAAAACATCTCTGCTAGCTACCGTTAGCTGATGTTTACGTAGTTAGCCTGCTAATTTGAAGAATGGCTCTTAAAGGATTCTAATGTCAGTCTGTTTTATTTACCTTTGAACAAGAAATCATACTCATCATCTCTGTTCCCCATTGTGTGGTTGAAAAGGCTCCAGGAGAGAGCGGCGGTTACAGAAAGTAGTTCCCCGCACTGACCAGGGTGGTGGTGCGCCGCGATGACAGGAGCGGACAATGCGCAGATTGCGTAAGAGGTGCAGAATCGCTACGTGACGTGACGGTACGTAGCTTCTTCAGCTGGAGAAGTATGCTAAAAGGTCCCGAGCGGTCAGGTTTGTTTAACAAAATACAGCTTTTCAGAAAGAAATGTGTATGTACTGTCATTACTGGAAATCCGCCTGAGAAACCGGAAGTTCCTCTTTCAGTTCTACTGGTTGGCATGACAACTATCTGTTAGGAACGAATACTTCTTTGAAATACTTCACAAAAAAATAGCATTTCCTGCTCCGCTTGATTGCAGTTCCCTAAACATCCATTCATCCATCCATCCATTCAACCATTATCCATCATCCATCCATCCATCCATTCATCCATCCATCCATCCATCCATTCATCATCCATCCATACATCCATTCATCCATCATCCATCCATCCATCCATCATCCATCCATCCATCCATCCATCCATCCATCCATTCATCATCCATCCATCCATCCATCCATCCATCCATTCAACCATTATCCATCATCCATCCATCCATCCATCCAGCCATTCATCCATCATCCATCCATCCATCCATCCATCCATTCAACCATTATCCATCCATCCATCCATCCATCCATCCATTCATCATCCATCCATACATCCATTCATCCATCATCCATCATCCATCCATTCATCATCCATCCATACATCCATTCATCCATCATCCATCCATCCATCCATCCATCCATCATCCATCCATCCATCCATTTATCCATCATCCATCCATCCATCCATCCATCCATTCAACCATTATCCATCATCCATCCATCCATCCATCCAGCCATTCATCCATCATCCATCCATCCAGCCATTCATCCATCATCCATCCATCCATCCATCCATTCAACCATTATCCGTCCATCCATTCATCCATTCATCCATCCATCCAGCCATTCATCCATCATCCATCCATCCATCCATCCATCCATCCATCATCCATTCATCATCCATCCATTCATCCATCATCCATCCATCCATCCATCATCCATTCATCCATCCATAATCCATTCATCATCCATCCATCCATCCATCCATCCATCATCCATTCATCATCCATCCATTCATCCATTATCCATCCATCCATCCATCCATCCATCCATCCATCATCCATCCATCCATCCATCCATTCATCATCCATCCATCCATTCATCCATCATCCATCCATCCATCCATCCATCCATCATCCATTCATCATCCATCCATCCATTCATCCATCATCCATCCATCTATCCATCCATCATCCATTCATCCATCCATAATCCATTCATCATCCATCAACCATCCATCTATCCATCCATCATCCATTCATCCATCCATAATCCATTCATCATCCATCCATCCATTCATCAATCATCCATCATCCATCCATCATCCATCCATCCAGCCATTCATCCTTCCGTCCATCCATCCAGCCATTCATCCATCCATCCATCCATCCATCCATCCATCATCCATCTATCCATCCATCCATCATCCATTCATCCATCCATAATCACTTCATCATCCATCCATCCATCCATTCATCAATCATCCATCCATCATCCATCCATCATCCACCCATCCAGACATTAATCCATTATCCATCCATCCATCCATCATCCATCTATCCATCCCTCATCCATCCATCCATCCATCCATCCATCCATCCATCCATCCATCCATCCATCCATCCATCCATCCATCCATCCATCACCCAGCTTCACTTATTGCAATCATTTATATTAATTTTACATCATAATTCTGAGAATTGGAGGAGAGTAACTTTAAGTTTTTTGTTCACATCAAACAAATAATTAGTTAAAATCAAAGCTTGCTTATACTTCAGGGGTCTCTATGGTGTTATGTAATATTATTTCATAATAAAATAAAAAAGAAAGGGTCAAAGTCATTGCTGAAGTACTGAAGTAATAAGCAAGTTTTACTCTTACTGAAAATTCATAAATGGCTCTGCTTTATATCTCAGTTCTGCAGCAACTATAAGATTAAGAATTATATTTTCTTTTTTCTCTGTAAGTGCATGGTTGATCTTATATAAATTTATGTAAATAAATGAAATAAAAGGATTAAAAAAGCTTCTAAAAATAAAATACCTGATACTGGCTATTCTTTTAGACAATTAAAAGCAACTACAATAAGAGAAAGATCAAAGAAAGAGATGTAGTTGCAGCTAAAGTTTTGTTCATATCTACCCACAGAAAATGAGTCATTAGGTGCGTTCAAACTCCAGTAAGTGCAATTAGAAAACTGGACTCTGAACAAAACGTGCTTTCATAAATCGTCTACCGTAATAGCGTTGTTAGGACTGATTATTCACTTTATTATGCCAGTAGTTTTCTATCAATCATAAACTGATATTGGAAGCTCACACAGAAGTGTATTATTATGTTTTTTACAACTGTTTGTCACATCGTCAAGTCAGGTCAAAATAAACGTTGTTAGGAAACGTATGCCTATTTCTTTTGGGCTCTGTTTGACTCAATAAAGGTTTTCTGATCAATTATTATAGTTGTAATTAAATAAATGATAATAAAAATTGGGTTGTTAGTTAAAAGGGATATTATATTTTCTTCTAAGACGTTTGTTAAAATTGCATTTAGATACTTTATTAAATGCACGATTAACTGCTTGAAAGAATATTGTCGAAGATGCTTAATTTGACCAAAACAAAACAGAAACACAGCTGATGTTTAGGCTGTCTAATTCAGCCCGGTGGATTGTAAAAACAACTGAATATTACTAAATGTGTCTCAGCCATATATTTAAAGCAGTATCCTGTTTAAAGACAAAACAAAAGCCTTTTTCAGTCAACTGTATGACATGAATATCATGGACCCTGCAAAGATTCACAGGCAGTTAATAAGAGAAACAGGCCCGCAGCATCACAGATCGTCCATCATTAATAACACATCCTTTCCCACATATTTACTTCATTAACCTGGGATGTTTGTTACCTTGCAGCTTTTAATCTCATCTCATCAGAGCTCATGGTCTGAGTTAAGTCCCAGGAGGGTTGAACTAAACTCCCGGCTTCCCTGTTTTAAATTGTAATGGAAAGAAATATCTTTTCTAGCATCACTTCCAAATGATCTGTAAATTGATTGATTGACTTTACTGATCTCACAGTGGAGAAATTTACTCGTTATATCGGCTCAAATTGTCAAAAGATGAAGAAGAAGGAGCCAAAGGAAGAAAAAGGTGCATGGGATATTTACAGTGCATCCACATAGGACAGCTTTTTTATATTTTAATTTGTAAAGCAGGATTATTATAGTGGGTTATTGCACAGGGTGTTTATATGGGTATTTATATAAATCTCAACCAAGTCTTTCAGGTCTACTCTAAGTCTAAGTCCCCACTACAGAAATGTACGTGTCCAAGTCCTTACCTTTGAGTAAATATTTTATAACCAAATGATGATTCATCTCTAGAATTTAGAGAATTTTAAAACCCAATACTGGGGTTGCTTTTTGTGGTAAACATTAAGTGAAGAATTATCTAGAAATAAATTTGTTTTCTATTAAAAAAAAAGTATCTGCTTACCAATTCTAACAGCACAAACCAACCTTTATTATCATCAGATAATTTTTTAGTAAAGTTTATCTTTCTGGTCAAATTGGATGAAGAAAGCATCTGATGGGGCCAAGATGGCGACAATTTTTCAACTAAGAAGAGTTCTGTTTCTTCTCACGGTGCGAAATAGCAGGAGACACAAAGGGCCTCATCCAGCTGCTGACAAACGCACAGGTCTCTGTGCTGCTTTATATTTCTAGGTCATGTAAAACTCAAAGCTAGTTTCCATTAAAAACAAAACAAACATAAATGTAAATGTTTTTTGTGATTTTTTTTTTTTTTTGAGGAACTGCTAATTCAAATTTAAAAACTTCTCTTTAAAAATATGCATTAAAGGGTTAATATTCCAGAACATTTAGTTTTCAACCTCATGTAGAAACCTTAGCTGTTTCATCTCCTCAGCAGACTAACATATGCTGCCTCTCTGTTATCTGATACATTAGTTTAGCCTCCAGCAGAGGAGTTGCTTGTTTATACAGTAAAACTTGTTTTCACAGTCTCTGCTAATTTTAAATCTCTGAATTTCCTTCAACTTCTTCCCTGGTTTCTGGGTTTGGCTCAGGTACTTTCCTACCTATGAGAAAGCTCATCAACGTCAAAACCAGTCTCACCTGTAGTTTTTTTAAAACGCCCCGCCCCCTCTGTCGCGCGTTGACCAATCCGGGAAGGTGCAAGTTTAGTAAAGGCAGAGCTGTCAGCTTTATTATGCAAACACAGGCTGTGGCTCCAGTGTTACAGATCTGGAGAAACGTCTCATCACAGCTCCAGATCTATATTTCTGAAGTAATAGAAAAATCTACACCTTTTAGTGATGGCACCACGAACCGGTAGGAGGAAGAGCGAGCTGCCAGACCTTTACCATGAGGGTTACCTGGAGAAGAGGTCATTCAAAGATAAGGTAGATCCGGTTTGCTCAACTTTTTATCATTTTTAGATTTGTTAGCTTTGGAAATGCATTGGATTGTGTTAAAACTGTCAAATTCCAGCTCATCCTGCTGCTGTGATCTCTGACATGGTTCCACCATGAAATGAGATGTTACTAATATAAATGGATCATTGTTTTTTTTAGCTCTTATGACTATGTTAACATTAGTATGAAACAAACTACACATGGTCTCTTTTTTTGTGTGTGCAAATGTTTCTGATGATTTAAAGTGCCATTATCTAGAGATTGCATGCATAGATTTTAAGTCTTTTTAAATATTTATGCGTGCAATTTTTCCAAGGGCTGTTTGGATCTATTTGTTCTAGGATACAATATCTCTGCATTAAACTTCAGATTTCCAAAATTAGGTTTGGAAGTTCTGCTTTTGCTGCCTTCTATAGCTCGCAGTGCGATAAGTCAATGAGACTGATGTGCCAGCTATCATCATGGAAAACGTTGAGCAAACAATACTGACACTGCAATATTCAGCTGTAATATTGTAGCTTTGCATGGTCCTTTTTTATCCTGCAGCCCTCTGAACTCCTGACATAATGGTCTGCCTTCTAAACACAAAGGTTTTGTTTCCCTACTTTATCAGGGAATAGAAATCAGAAGTCCTCCAGTCAATCAGAGAAGGATCCATCACATTTTTTCACCAACTAGCTGTGATCATCGAGTGATCACAGCTAGTTGGTGAAAACTAGCTGTGATCACTCTTTAAATGCACTTAAAAAACAGCTCTGCACATTTTGAAGTTCAGTAAAAACTGGATGAAAGTTGTCAACATTTAGATGAATGCATTGATTTCAATAAATTTGCATAAGTTTCTGTTAGATGAAACACTGAAAAGCCGACGACAATCTTCAGTCTTTGTTATTCCCTCAGGGAAAATGAACCATAAATCAGTCCAAACCTGAACAGACAGGTTAAACCTCAGACTAACCCCGAAAGCTGTTTGGTTCAGGACTAAAGTCGGAATAACGTTACCTCCAATTTAAATACATAATTCTTATTTTCATCACCGATCCAATGACTTATGGTTCCCAGTCCTTAATGGTACAAAATAACACAGTAAATCTGACAAAGTTTTAAATCATCTTAGAAAGCAGCATAACTGTTTAGACTTCTCTGCACCACCACTAAAACATGGCCAATCATTTGTCTGCTCTTTGTTCCAAAAACTGCACCAAATCAGGGACTGACAGGACAGCAAAGGGTCAAACTGGTCCCACTGGCTCTCCAAACAATAAATCCTGAGGCCAGTTTGGTCGCCGTTGATCTGGAAGATAATTTCCCGTTAGGCAATTCCTGAAAACTGGTTTCTCTCACCAGAAATGAATAGCTGTGCTTTAGTCTGGTGTTTAGTCCGATCTCCTATTTTTAGCCTTAATCTCACTGATCTGATAGGGTTGTATGGTTTTGTTTAGCTTCAACTGGTTCCAGCTCCTTGCTTTTGTTTACATGACAAACAGTTTGATGCTGACTCATAAAGACCCGTCCAGCAGTCAAAGACTCACTGCTTATTTCCTTGTTGTTTTGCTCTTATCTCTTTCCCTCCTCTTTAGAGTTAGATTTGATGCTCTGTCTTTTGTCTAACTGGTCTCTGTGTGTCTTTACAGACGGCTCGGAAGCTGTGGACCAGCTTGTGTGGGAACACGTTTTATTTCTTCAATGAGAAAAGAGAAAACGATGTAAGTCTTCTCTCTTAGAGGAATGCCACGATAAAATGCTCAGATCTGTAATTTATTGTACCTGTTTGCTTCATCAGTATGTAGAGAAACTGGAGCTCTGTGGACTGATCTCAGTGACGGACGACAGCAGCCCAGATCCTAACTTGGATGCAGCCAGATTCAATGTCCAGATGAAGAATGGAACCATTAAATTCACTGTGGGTGAATATTGGCAGAATAACTTTTTTTTTTTTTCTGTTTGCAACTAAGCTGATACCAGTCTGTTGATTTCTGCAGGCCCCAAATGCAGAGTCCCGAGAACTTTGGAAGGGATTTATCCACGCAGTGGCTGAGGTCTGTCCTATAATGATTTTTACACCCACCCATTTTGTGCTTCATTGTGTTACACAATATTTTCCCCCATATTGCTTAATGAATAAATTGGGTCTCTCCGTAGTTGAAGGTGCCCCTCTCCCTCAACCTGCTGCCAGGTCAACTCCACATGCTGAGAGAGACGGTCAAAAGTGAGAAGAAAAGGTTGGCAAACCCCCTTCCAGAGCCAAGTCCTCCTCCAGCTGTCAAAACAGAGATGCCCATGTGAGTGTCTCTACTGGAGCAAACTGTTTCTAAATGATCATGCATGAATGAGTGGGGTAAAGGTTTCCCTGCATTTGAATGCAGTTGTTACTACGAGGTGCCGCGCCTGGAGGCCGAACTGCTGCTGGAGAGAGAAGCCAGTAAAGGAAACCTGCTGGTGAGACCCGGGAGAGACGGACGCTCCTTCGCCATCAGCACCAAACAGGATCTAGATGGGTAAATGCACTCATGTATGAAGCACACGTGTGTTAATTCAATTCGGTTTACTTCTATAGCGCCAATTCACAACACATGATCATAAAGATCATCCAGTCAGATTGATTCAAAGTTTTCTACCTAAGGCAAACTAGTTGATTGCATCGACTCACTGACTTGAAGGCAATCCCTCACACTAAGCATGCTTGTAGCGACAGTGGAGAGGAAAAACTCCCTTTTAACAGGAAGAAACCTCCATCAGAACCAGGCTTAGTGTGAGCGGCCATCTGCTGAGGCCGACTGGGGTTCAAGGAGACAGAAGCAGACATAGAAAAAAAAAAAAAAAAGCAGCTGTAAAAGGCGGCTCCATCGAGGAAACACACAGCCAGGCAGACGAGCTCCGAGCCAGCTCCCATGTCAGAGGATGAAGAGAGCAAATCCAGTTAGTCACAGTCAGAGAAACAGGACTCCACTGGAAAACAGGCCAATCTCCAACATCTATGATTAAAGGTGTTTCTCTCCAGGATGGAGTCACAGCCAAACAGGAACAGACCAGATGAAGCTACTATGAGGAAAAAAAAGCAGAGAGAAGAATAACGTTAGAGATTGAACGAACAGATTCAGCAGAGTAGTTGAATAGGGATAGAATAATGAATAGGGGTCACTATGTCCTCCAGAGGTCTAAGCCTATAGCAGCATAACTATAGAGATAGCTCAGGATAACCTGAGCTGGAACCAAATGTCTTCTGGACATAAGATCCAGCTGCTGCTCAAAATGTAACATGTTGTTCCTTAGAGGCTGTTGAAATACTCCATTTCTGCTCTGCAGTCGCTGCTGCTGCTGCTGTTGTTTGTTCACGGCTCATTTCTCCCTTTCAGCCCCGTTTTCCGACACTACCGCATTCTTTCTAAACCAGGGGGAGGCTTCTACATTGATGTGGAAAAACCTGTAAGTATTAGTTTTAGAAAATTTTACAAAATATGCAAAAGTTAAAATGCTGTTTTTGTGTTGGGTCAGAAGTGTCTACACAACACTGCATGTAAAGAGTCCTCTAAAATGATTATTTTACACTTTTAGGCATGTTTTAACTACAAGCTTTATTTCAGGATTATAGGTAATAAAGCAAAGTAATGCAGGGGAAGAAAATGCTTTTTTTTTTAAATAATTTATTCAACTGTTGTGCATTTGAATTCAACCACTTTATTCTTAAGATGTTCAGCAGCAAACATATAACTTCCCCTGTAATGCATAAGAGTGGCGTTGTAATGCTGTGGGGATGCGATTTCCTCAGCTAAGAGTTGAGAAGATCCGTGGAGCTAAATGCAGCAGGCCAAGCGAGTTAGAGGCAGAGTAAGAGTTTAGTCAGAAGCATAAACAAGCAGCCAAAACTAGTGTGGAAATATTTAGATAAAAGCTTTTTTTCTGCACGTAAGACCCATTCATCCAGCCCTAAATCCAATTAATCTCTTCTTTTTACATGTGAGTTTGAGTGATTTGCAAAAACGTCAGTGTTTGCATATACAAAGCAACGCATATACAAATGCAGTCTTTTTATATTTTCTCTTAGTAAGAACTTTCAGAATGAAGCATAGTATTCAGCTACTTTCCATCATGGATTTGATTAAACTCTGATTAACATACATTGAAGTCTTTGCAGTATGAAGAAACGCGTATAGCCCTACATAGAAGGCTTTATATGTTGTGTTGGTATTTGCCCGTGTGCAGAAATAAACCCTCGTAAAGCCTGTTGCATAGGATAGCTGATGCTTTTTATGATGCACAGGAATTCATAGATTATGTGAGCTACTAGCAACAAAGGAGGCGACTGCCAGTAAAGCTACATGGAACTGCTTATTTTCATATCTCATGACATAAACAGTACTCCATGCAAAGGTGGATGAATCATGCTCTTTTACCTGTCGTGATAGCAGATTTGAAACCCAGTTTTCATAAAGGCTGCTGGGAGTTTGTGTAAAGATATGCACAGGGTTGCTGACTCTGTGTTTTTTTATTTCCCTGGGTTTAATAGCTTTATAATGGCTAAAGGTCTGTCGTTTCTGCAGGTCCACTTTCAGACGCTGCATGATGTTGTCACATATATGGTGGAAAGCACAGATGGAAACTTGACTCCCCTCATCATAGAAGCACAGTACGACAAAAATATCTGTACGTCTACCTAAATTTCTTTTTTTCCTCCTAACTTTATTCATCTTTATAAAATTAAATATCACTAAAAACAACCATGCACCTCCTTCCTTTCACAGCTTTTATTTCAGCGGATAATGAAAACGGAGAGAGGACTCAGCAGCTTCTGCCTGTCCCTGTCTCTGTCCCAGAGCAACCCAGGCCAGGTTCGGTCCTTTAACACACTTTTACAGCCTTAAGCATCTGTAAAAGATGAGATTCCTCTCATGTTTCAGTCCCGTTCTCGTGATTCCCAGAAACTGCTTTAGGAAGAATGACTCACAATTAATTCTCTGAAAAACTTCCAGGCATGAAGTATTCCTCTCAAAGATTAAAAGCAACATTTCACCAGTCAAACAATCCTAGTGTGCAGGAAGTTTGGACGGTGCTTTGTTATCAGTTAGGTTTCTCTGAGTGTGGACATTGGGTTCGGTCCACCTCACGCCCACTTGTCCAACAATCAGCGAGGCATTCAGAGTTTGTTCCTTTTGTTCTGGACTCTTAAGCAAAACAGCAAAAGTCAACATTAGGAAATGACAAAACTAAACACTGGGAAAGAAAAGTGTAAAAACTGTAAAAATGCTAACTAGAGTCAGACAATTTTTATACATTTCTATAAAAATCTACTTTATTTAATTAGGCGACAAATATGTGAAATTATTTTACAATCTTTTATGGGTTTCTGTTATGTTACAACCCAAAAATCTTAGTATTTAATTTGGATTTTATGTGATAGAGCAAACAATCACACTCTATTGAGGGAAAACTATCTTTTTATTTATGCTAAGTTAACTACAAATGCTGATGTTTTTAGTCGGCTTCTTTAAATCAGTCGTGTAAATCCAGCTTTTACTTGTGACTCTACTATAACTCTGCTCAAAGTTCACCCATTTCTCTTCCAAAATAGTTCAAACTCAGATTGGGTGGAGAGTTTCTGTAAACACTAATTTGCAAGTCATTCCTCTGACTTTGAAGAAAATTAATTTCTAGATTCATATCTGGCCATTCTGAGGCATAAACATACACTGATTTGAACCATTACCTCTATTATTATTATTATTATTATTATTTTTTATTTAATTTTTTTAGCAACCTCCAGCTGTATATGACTTTCCATCTTCCAATAAATCAGCTCTATAAAACAATTTCTTTATAGTTTGTTCATGTCTTTATTTCCTGAGCATAGTCATAAATTGGCTCCAGATAAAGTAAATAGAAAGCCACCCATAGAGTATCATAAATTGATTTTAAAATGAGGTGAACATTTGGAAATGATTTAGCTGAAACCACTTTTTATCAAGCTGTTCTTTTTTTCCTGCTGCTGCCATCATAAGCTAAAAGTTCACTTGTCTTATTCTATTTTCATCGTCCCATCAGTCATTTTTATTGGATGTTTTCCTTTTAGTTACCGAAACAAAGACGTTCGATGATCCAGAACCAGACGTAGAGGAAAATCCACCTGCTAATGATCAGGGTAAGTAGATCTGTGAGCAGTTTCCCGCCCTCATTCCATCAATCGTTCCTTCCTGGCACTTGGCTTTAAAAATAAACTGGTGGGTCTTCATTTTTGTCATGCCTGTCACTGACTAATATTCTGTCTCCAAACAGAGGAGGAAGATGTGAGGGCTCATTACTCCCCTCCTCCAACTCCACGTAAGTTCTGACGGCAGATAGTTTCCATCAGGCAGGAAATGCTCGGCTTCGTCAGCCTCGATTCACAGCTCATTGTTTTTTTTCTTTCAGTAGCGAGGAAAACGCCTCCTATTCCTGCTCCACGCAAAAAACTCCCTGTAAAACCACCCAGCAGCTCCACCTCCCCCACCAGCGTTCCTGAGGTGCTCAAGATGATCTCCGATCCAGAGAGGAAGAAGCAGAGTAAGTCCATGTTCAATGCAGCTCAAACGAGTTGGTCAAATAAGCTGCAGAAAAAAAGCTTTATTTTCTTTTTGTCTGTCAATAACTCCCAAAAAACATAGAACAGTTAAATTATTTTAATTTGCCTAATGTCAGAATTATTTTCCCCCCTCCAGACAGAGAGAATGAGTTTGCCTTTTATATGATAAACTCTAGCTATTCCTCCACAAGCTCTTAAAGATAGGATAGTATTAACACTCGTTTTCACTTCTGATCTTCAATCATCCATAAGGAGGAGATCAGGGTCACTTTTTTTTTAATATTTCAGCACTTTGTTTTTTAAATGTGTGCTGCAGGTTGTATATTTGGTACGAACAGTTACATCCTGCCTGATGCCTGGAGATGTTACTTGAAATTGTTTTTCTTACCCTCTTGTTTTGTATAATGTTAATGATTTAAATTTGGTTTAATCAGGTCAATTCTTATTTTTTTGAGTACTGGCTTTGTTTCTGAGCAGCCTTTAAGCTCATGGTCAAGGTCTTTTTTCACTATTTCCTACCAGAACAGATCTATCCTCCTTCCTGATTGGTATACAGTTGTATTGTTAACACATAGTAGATATAAATGTCATATTTTCCTTTAAGAATCTAGAAAACCCATTGAAGCCATAACCAGACCTGTTGAAGTCCACATTTCTTCCAATGCATTTCAGGTGTAACCATTTAAAAATAAAAGAAAAATCAAAGCCTGCTTCTATTTAAATATGAACAGAAACAAACAAAAACAGCCAGAATATCTTCCTCTGAGCTTTTACCATTTGTTCCAAGATAATAACATAAAATCACTGATTATTCTGACATGTAGCATGTAGAAATGTCTTTTAATGATACTGACCAAAAAAAGGACAATTTAATTCTGATTTGTCGTAAAGGTGGAAAATGTTTATCAAATTAATCAGATGACCACATGGTTTCATAAACTCATTTTTTTCCTCCCCCACAGTCCTTCCTGCAGCTTTATCCGAGCTAAAGGAAAAGCTGGGACAGAAGATAAAGGTCCAGGACTGACCTCTCCTACCATCATCTCTTTGGATGTGAACCTGTTGGAGCAACAAGCTCGGAGCTGAAAGGAGGCACCATTACGGCAGGAGGCCAAGCCATAGGAGTCCTTTCCCTCCTCCTCCTCGATTAGCTGTCTGCAGCAAAGCCTCTTTAGAGATTAACAACTCACTGATTTGCCACTGCTGGACGTTCATTAGCAAATCAATGGACTGTGAAGATGGGTGGACAAATTATGTTCTCGTTTCTCTTGTTCACTTTGCACTTTAGCCATCGACTAAATCAACTTAGACTTTTTCTATTTTTTAAGAGTTTTCCTATTTTTTAAGAATGTTTTTATTTAGCATACCTTCACATCTCTATGGATGCAGTATTACTGGTGGTTGGAAAATGTGTGCCAATGTCTTACAGCCTGTTTACAGTGAATGTAAGTGCAGTAAAACTCTCTCATCAGCTCTGATATGATAAAGTGACTTTTGATATGTGCAATGGAACAATTTAAAAGATATCAGAACTGTACCTGTTTTTTCACATTTACACAAAGTTCTTTATAGTTTAAACTTTGAAAAAGATATTCAAAGACAGTGTTCTCACTCCTTTATTACCTCAATTACTGATGCACTATAGTGGAAAAATGAAACTATTTACAATAAATGGACATTTTGTCAGCATGTGAAATAAATCGAGTCTTTCTTTAAAGCATAACAGGCTACATTTACCCAATAAATGCATACTGAGGGAGAGCTGGGCTAGAACATGAACCAGCTGAAACAACATGAATGTTACAGAGCAGTGCACAAATACCAAGGTGAATAAATGTTTCTCCTGTTTGCCTTAACTGTGTCTCTAACCCGCTATTCTCATTAAAGCTACCTGCAGAGTAAAAAGCCTTAAAATAAACTCACCTTTATCAGGTCGAAATCTTAATATTGGTGTCAAATAAGTAACATCTTGGCTCTTAATGCACTTTAATTCCTAGAGAATAAAAGAGCTTTTTTATAATTGAGATAATTTCTAATTAACCTGGGGAACCACCAAAGGCCCATTTCTCAAGAGAACAAGAAATTCAAACATAGATGTTTGCTAGTTTTGAGTCAGGAAATGACCACATGCCTATATCTACAGTCAGTGTGATTAATAAAGGATATGAGGTTTTACATGTGTGTAAAGCTGCAGCTGAAGGTCTCTCAGGGGTCACAAAGCCTCCATTACCACTGCTGAAAGCTAACTGGCTGCATTATGCCAAAAAAAAAACTAAAAGTTTTCTGCCTTCTCGGTCCAAACATCACAATCATATGATTTGTATATTTATACGTCCTGATCTACAGAAATTGCTCCAACAGGACGGATTTTACGATTAAATATTGAGTTTACAATAATGCAATAAAAGATGAATGAGTTTTAAGGCTTTTCACAAATAGAGCCCCTGAATGTTCCATTAGTGAGAGCTATAGACCAATACTGTTGAACCTGACTGTACGACATATAGGAGGGTCTCTATACTGTAAAGGCAGATAAATCAGACACAGCGCTCCGATTTACAGTGAGGGAGAGGGGACCCTCAGACGTTTCTCTAGAGCTTCTCTGCAGATTCCCTCACTCATCTATGCCTTTAATGTTAGACTCGGAAAGTTTGAACAGGAAGATTCTGACCTAGATTATATGACAGCTGACTACAAATAGTAATACCGTAAACACTGTTACACAACATGGCCTGGCAGGGAATCAAGTATCTCATCAGAAAACAGTAGAAGGAACCAGTTTAACGCTGAACTCTTTCCTCTTCAGGTTAATTGCTCTGCTTCATTTAGGTCACACTGGTTTACTGTTAAATAACATTTTCATAACAGCTTTATACTGAAACTAACATAGACGGGGAGATATCTTGCAGTAGCAGTTAGATAGGTGAGCTGCAGATGATTGTTTTGGCCTGAGAAGAAAGGCACAGGGATGGAGCGTGACCCTGAACCTGCCACTGACTGCGCCACAGCACAGCTGACCGTTCAGGGGAAGCTGAGAAGGCAGCGGCCAGCGCTAAAGCCGTTGCTCTAGCAGCAGTGGGACAGTGAATGTGCAGCGAGGCGTTAACTACTCATACTAGGGCCTGATGCGTCCAAAACATCACAACAGCCAGCAGATTCTGTCTCTGATGGAATAGAGAGTCTATCTGATCCCAGGATCCTCTGTCATGCAAGTGATATGACTATTCTGCTGGAGAGTCTTCATCCGCAGACGGTGCAGAGGAGGCGACCTGCAGCTGAGACTGAAGCTGGGTGGACGGCTGCGTCTATGTGAGGCTGGCGTTGGAACTGCTGGTGTTGCTGTTCTTCCTCTGGCCGCTCTGGACCACACTGGGAACCTGCAGGCCCGTCACCACAGAGAAGCTCCCGTTCCACACCTGCAGGAGGATGTACATTTTATAAATAATAAAAAACGGCCTCCCGCTAACAGAACATATGCTTTGTAATAATCTTTTCACCATGAAAGCTGGGATGACAGGCTGCTGGAACTTTGTTCTGAAAGTATGCATCAGCTGCTTGGTTTTAGCATTATAAAACGACAGGACCCCTGCGGAGTAAAAGCAAGCCAAAAATCATACTTTATATGAAAAAAACTATTCTTTTCAGAATCTTCCAGGGCTTGTCTTACCTTCGTCGTAGCTGACGTAGACTCCTATGCTGTTTGGGATGGGACAGTCCAGGGTGCGAGCCTTGTTGTTGTGCTTGGCGGTGAGGCTCTGTTGCAGCCAGTTGTTGAGGTGGATGCACCAGGAGGCGCTGCTCTTCCCCAGCTGGTCGAACCTCCCCAGACTCCGCAGGGCCACCCCTACAGCGAACGCCTTGCTCTCCTTATCAAACTTCACCTCCCAGTATTGCTGGCCTGCGTCGATCATGGTGTCGGCTATCAGGAGACATTAACATCTTTTTAGAGCTCTTGGACTCTCTACCATGACTCTTAATAGTGGTGGAAATTATATAAAGCATGATAAAGTAACTATTGGAGTATAATAAATAATAGTCTTAGAAGATTATTTGGTTTCTCTAAAGAATATTTCAATTTAATTTTCATAGAATGACATTAAAAGAACCAGAAATGCGGTTTAAGCTAGTTTTCTTTAACTAGCTTGGAAATTACGTGTTTTATTATTATTTTTACATCAAATAATACCCTGTAGAAGGAAATCCATGCTTCAGCTTTATGAATTGATTTGACTTTTCTCCTTGACTCTACCTTTCATACCTCATCCAAAAAGGTTATGCTGATCTATCTCTAGCTAAGCTGCTATAGGCTTAGGCTGCTGGAAGACAACACTTTTCATTATTCTCCTTCTTTCCATCTCTGTTCTCCCATTCTGTACTAATTTTAGTTCAGCCTCTAACTTTATGCTCTCTCTGCTTTTTCCATCACAGTAGCTTCATCATTCTGTTCCCATTTGGCTGTGACGTCATCCCGAAGCTGAACTCGTGGAAAAAGGAGTCTTTGCATATGAAAGGTTATTGGAGGTCCAATGTATATTAACACTTTCGCAAGCAAAAGCTGTGAGCGTGTGTGTGTTGAGGGGGTCATCTTAAGCTTTAAACAGAATTGTGTTTTTGGATTTAGGTTTTATTAGTATGTACATATTATTATATAACAACTGATTTAAGTCTGTGAATAAAATGTCTTTATCAGAGGTGTTAAAGGAAAATTCCGGTTTTTAACACTTTTAGCCCATTTTCTGTAGTGTCCAGGATGAAATCGAATGATCGACACCAAAATTTTGACAATTGGTCCTGTCTCTGCTATTTGGCTCATGCAGAATCACCCCCTGGCTGCTTCAGAATGGCTTCCATAGAGCATGTCCGATAATGTCCTTAAAACAACCTTAAACGTTCTTTTTTTTAAATATGCTAGTCACCGGGTCGTCAGCGCTGTTCAATGACGTTCCAAAAAAAGTTTCGTAAAGAAAAAACGTTCCTGTAGTGTTTTATTTAGCATTTTGTAAATCCCATTGAGTTCTGTTGGAATAGTCAATATTCCCCTGCCACCGGAAACGGAAATGGAGCCTGTTTACACAGTTGTAGTCTTTTCGCTTCACTCTGTGTACTCCGACGTCGAGGTGCTAACATCTCTGTTAAACACTTAAAAAAACTCTGAAAATGGAATACGAAAGGTGGATTCTTGATGAGGACATATTGGACTTTGAGTTTGACGGTAGAGGATACCGTTTTGAACCGGAATATACTGAGGAGGAGTATATAGAGACATTGTCGCCAACTAGTGGTCTGGAGTGTGCAACGCTTCAGATTCGAACGGGAAGCGGAAGTTTATAAGCGGTTGTGATGTATCGGAAAAAATAGTTCTGGGATTTACAAAATGCTAAATAAAACAAGACAGGAACGGTTTTTCTTCACGAAACTTTTTTTGGAACGTCATTGAACAGCGCTGACGACCCGGTGAGTAGCATATTTTTAAAAAAAGAACGTTTAAGGTTGTTTTAAGGACATTATCGGACATGCACTATGGAAGCATTTCTGAAGCAGCCAGGGGGGGATTCTGCATGAGCCAAATAGCAGAGACAGGACCAATTGTCAAAATTTTGGTGTCGATCATTCGAATGCATCCTGGACACTACAGAAAATGGGCTAAAAGTGTTAAAAACCGGAATTTTCCTTTAAACGCCCTCTATAAAAACAAGAGTCCGGCACTGTTAGCTTTTGCTAGAAAGATCCTCCTTTCTCATCGTGCACCATCTTCATTCCTTGTATAATAAGCATTCAGGAAAAAATGCCACGGGCTGCATCTCAGTGTGGACCAACAAACATGTTAAAATGGTTTTAAAATCATCAGCTGTCTGTGTACCCTCACCCAGCACGGTGTAGGATTCCGCAGTGAATCTGTCTCTGCCTGGTCGAGCTGTTGGTGCTCTCTTAGGAGACATCAGGGCTGACCTGCTCGCACAAGATAAGGACGGTGGAGAGCCTCAAACGGCAGCCATCACTGAACCTAACTCTTCATGAAAATATGTGGGTGTACGAGCAGCAATGAGGCGTCACGTACCGAGCAGGGGAGTGCATGGGGGAGTTGGTTCTGTTCTTCTCCTTGCGGATCTCCTGCACCTTTCCGCCGCTGCTGTCCCACTCCACACTCAGGTCCTCCACCTTCAGGTTCTGGTGCGCCGAAGCAGAGTCCAATTTGAAGGTGAAGGCTAGATAAAGCAGGTATAACATTCAATGCATGGTCAGTTTAAGCCATAACAGAACCAGTAGAACCTCCTGAGTGCTGCTGGTTATCTCACCGTGGGTTTCTAGAGTGACAGGCTCAGAGAACTCCCCAGCCACAGCCTTGTTGAACGCCTTCACCCTGAACGTCATGTAGCGGGTGTCGAAACGCAGACCTGACAATTAGGGAGCGTTGAGTCACTTTTGCCAGAGTTTAGCCAAACCCCCACCCCCCCCTTCACAGCCATGCTGCTACCTGTGAGCGTGTGCTCCGTCTCTCGGATCCCCTCCACCACCATCCAGGGGTAGTCCTCCCTGATGCGCGGTGGACCCTCGTGGTTTGTTCGCCGGTGTTCCAGAATGTAATGGTCTATCTTGTTGTCAGGTTCTGGTAAAGTCCAAACAATGGTGATGGTGTTGTCGCACACTTGGCACTCTGACAATTGGATCTCTGGAGTGGCAGGAACTAGAGGGGGAGGGGGGAGGCAGTTTGTTAGATATGGAGCAGAAACCATTCATTTAGTTATAAAGATCTACATTTTTTTAAACTTTTAAATAATTTGTTTGATTACAGCACAACATTCTCCCACTAGGGGGCAGAATTACACCACTCAGTAAATTCACACTTTCCACTGAG